TCAGAGATGAAGATTACATCTGCCCCACAAGAACTGACCAGAACTTTCAAGGCATCAAGTTTTCTCAGAAGACTACGTGCGTTTACATGCAAAAAATGAAGTCCTGACATGTTTTTAAAGTCATTTGGTGTGCTGTAATTAGTGGGGCGTCCAGGGTTGGGTTGAATCCCTGAGAGCAGTAACAACATTATTATCAGACATTTTCTTGAGTTTTTTGTGACTGACATGTAATTACAGGAGTTAGTAGTGTGAAAATTAGCCCCCGTAATTGAACCATGAGAAACATTAATGAAGACGCGATCATTCAGAACCCAAAAACAGTGAAAGTTGCAGTGATGGGCAGATCCAGGTGTATTAACAAGATTCAGTGACTCCAGATAATCTGAGATCTGAAAATAATGACAATAATATGAATGGTGCAGAAAAGTCTCAAACCATAAAGCATCATAAATCAAATGGGCAAACAAATCCGACGAGGTGGCCCAACTGTAGTTTGGGTTGGGCTGAGGGGGGGGCTCCAGCCCCTCTGCAAAGATGGATGGATGCTCCCATGAGAAACAGAAGCTGGGTCCAGAATCAACAGGCAGAAACAGATAATTCGCAGCAAATAGAGCGAGCTGTCAGAAAGCGAGCTGTCAGAAAATCCTCCTGAAATGAAAGGCATGGTCCTAGATTGTTTCAGGTCAACAGGGGACAACAGCGTGCTCCGGAATAAAAATTATTTATTATCCAGGTGAGTTCGGATGAGGCCTGCAGCAACTCCAATGCAAACTTCGAACTTGTCACGAGCACCACACAGCACTGCTCCTCCGCGCTTCACTCCACTTCTCTGCACATCACCTCCGCACCAGACAGCACGAGAGGCCACCCTTGGTGAAAAACGACGAGACTGACCGGAGAGGTTGAAGTCGTCCCTGGCCCGGTTCTGCTCCAGTCCAGTTCCGGCGGCGCTTCAAAGTAACAGATCCTCTCCTCCAGGCAAACACAGCTATTCCCACGAAGGTGGACAGACCTTCGTTAAAAGGTAATGGGCTGCTCACTGAAGCTGAGACTGGCTCTATTAAAGACCAAGTCCCCCACAGCCAACTCGGTTTGGTTCTGGACCAGTTCGGGGGACACAGGTACACTTCCCCCACAGCAATGAAGACACCACAAAGGGCCAATTCAGCAGAAAGCCAGCTAAATAGCCAGCAAAATACCACCCAGCGATTCTTGTCATAACCAGGTAGAACCATAAAGGTCTAGATGAGAAGTTCATTGGGGTCCAGAGAGAGAGAGAGAGAAAAAAAAAACACTGGACCTTCGTGCGACGACTCCCCAGCTCGAGGGGTCACCTGGCCAGCAGGGTGCGCTCAGAGTGACCGGTGGGGTGGGAGCGGCTGGTCCTGGACCGAAAAAAAATTATTTTTGGATGGTCCCGTCCGGCTCTCTGAGTCACCGAACACTGAATTTGGTTGGAAGGGGGACCAACTTTAATCCAGTTCGAAAAACTGGTCAGTTTGATGATAAAAGGCAACAGAAAAGCCGGGGGGAGCTGCCGTCCATCAGCTTACCGGAACCAGAAGTGAATTTGAATATCTTATGGAGGTGCAGAGTTACAGCCGTTATGGTCAAACCATGGGAAGTGAATAACCCGATGGGCCATCACTAGGGCTGTATACTGAACTGAGGTTCTTTTTAGGTACCAACCGAACTGCTTTGGTCGGTGTATGTACTGAAACGTGTCTCTTCTTTCTGTGTCAAGTTTCGGTGATTGGCTGTAACATGACACGTAGTTTCAGCACACAGGTAGGTAAAACACAGACATATGACAAACCGACTATGTGTTTACACCCACAGAGCTGTTTAGCGTTGCCCTACAGCTGTATGTCTATGGTGCTGGTTACACCCACAGACGGAGGTTCATATGTGCAGCGCGCTTATGAGCGGAAAGTTGCTCTGCGTTTGTCTGCAAGGAGAAAGGACCGCAGCCTCCTTCTCTCAGCGTTAAAGTCAGCCTTTGGTGTTACTAGCATGAACGACCCGATTTAAAATCTCCATGACTGGATTCTGCTTCGCTCCGAGAATGGAGCTGTGTCTGTGTTTCAGCTGGTAAGTTTACGTTTGTTAACGTTACTGCAGCTTAACACGTGCATTACGGTGAGTTAAACTAGGATCCATTTAACGTTAACTTCAAGATATTAGTCTGGAGCTTTATTTATTGGGGCAGCTGTGGCTGAGTGGTTAGAGCAGTCGTCCTCCAATGTGAGAGTTGGGGGTTCGAATCCACCAGCAGTCACATGCCGAAGTGTCACTGGGCAAGACACTGAACCCCTCACAGCCTCCGATGTGTGTCCCATCGGTGTTTGAATGTGATAAAGCACTGATTAGTCTCTTTAGAATGATTTGTTCAATTAGCTTTGTAGAGATCTAGTAGAGTGCTGTATGAATGGGTAAATGAGGCACAGATTGTAGTGTAAAGCGCTTTGAGTATCTCAATAAGATAGAAAGGCGCTATATAAGTACAGTCCATTTTATGGGTATCTATGTAGCTAGCTAAAATCAAAAGCTAACTAAAGGTTGACAGTGACAGATAAAGCTTAGCTTGTGAAAATGTGTTCATCCATCCGGTCAGCAGGTTAAACAGCTCACATAATGTTCACTGTTTATCTTCTCCTCACAGGAGCCTCTCACCCTGATGTGAGGAGGATAAACGAAAAGCGAGGTGGGGGTCGCTGTCACAAACTTTGTTGTTAAAAGTTGGCTGCCTTTTTCTACAGTGGAGGCTGCATGGTGGAGGCAATTGTTGACCAGTTAAGTCTTTATCTTTCAGCCTAGATACTGGTTTTTGAGCAATAATAACACAACCATGTTTCTGTTGATGTTTTGTGTTCTAATGTCAATTAGGGAGATGATAAGAGCCCTAAACCCCAGAAAACCACACAGAAGATTCAGGAAGAGACACAGAGGTGCAGAAGTCTGCATCAACCCTAACCTCAGTGAATCCAGTGACCACTGGTGGAATGTGAGGGACACTATGCGAATGCTGTCAAACCTGACAGCCAGGTATCTGTGTGTGCAACAAGCATCATCCACACCCTCAGAGCAAACATTTCCTACTGCTGGAGATACGATCAGCCAAGAGTGGGCTTGTTTGTGTCCAGAGAAAGCAGACATGTTGATTTTTTTGAAGAAAATCTGCTAAGTGAAAAGGTCCTCAGTGTGTAGCAGTGAACATTAGACACTGACGTGTCACTTGTTGTTTGCAACTGTTCTTTTGACCTGAAAATAATTTGTTTATTTTTATCTAAGAAAACCGATTAGAATGGAAAAATATAAGTTAAAAAATAAAACTCAAGATTTGTTCTGTAATGTGTAACTTAATTTTATTCTTGTTAGAATTGATGTTAATCATAAAATTGGCACCGAAAAAAGAACCGTCCAGGAACCGACACGATACAGATTTTTTTAGAAAGGTACCCTGCCCTAGCCATCGCATGACAAACTGTAAGGTCTGCTATTATGTGTTAGAGTAATTCTTGAGGATGACTGTGGGCAGGGAGCTCAAACTCATCAGCCTAAACACTGTCACTCTGTTCCATGTCAATGATTTGTCCCCACAAAACAGCCGAAAAAACTAGCAAACATCAAAGTTCATGCACAAGAATCCAGATATAAAATCCAACAATGTTCAGTCAGGTCATTTGGACGATTTCTTTTTTGTGCTGAGACGTACTGTCGACGAAGGAGAGGGCATGGCCCAGAGGCCATCTTAGCACCAATATAATCATTTTTTTCCCACGTTGGAGTCGGCTGTTGGTGGAGAATCAGTTTTGTTTGGCGTTTCCTCAGACTGAAGAAGTCCGTTGGATAACGGATGAAACGTCTCAGCACAAGAAAGAAACCGTCCAGATGACCTGACTGAACATGGTTGAACAGGAGCAAAACGTCCAGAATCTTACTGGTTCCTGATACAACACCGTATAACAACTTTCTTTCAGCTTCTCACTTTTTCACGGGTCGCCCCAGTATGAAAGGTTTGACAAATTGTTTTACACCAAATGCTCTTCCTGATGCAACATGGGTTTGAACTCGCAACCTCAGCATCACAATGCAGCGGCACTGGCCACCAAACTACCGCAGCCATTATAATAACACATACAAGGCTTGATTAAAATGGCTCCAACGGTCACTTCTCATCACGAGATGGTTTCAGAGTAAAGTTTTGTGTGCTGCGCCTCAGAAGCTGCAGCATCAGCACGTCCAGCAGAACGCAGCTCACAGGACTCCACTCGGGTCACAACGGACAAACTCGTGTCGACTCAACGTCACGTGTAAAGCAGCAGCAAAAAACATACGTCGTCGGGTGACTCTTTCCGTAGAAGCGGTGCTCCAGCATCAGGCACAGTGCTCCCAGTTTCTCAGCGTAGGTGATCCAGGTGGCATTTCTCATCCAGGCTGGATTAGCTTTACCCTCTCCACCGATCAGCAGAAACACCGGACCACCGGGCTTGTAGAAGGATTCGTTCACAAAATATCTCTGAGGGGGAGGAAAGACGGATAAACAAACCTTTGTATGCATGTGCAAAGTGAAGTGTTCAAACAAACACAGATTAAAACGTTACACTTCTTAT